TATTGATTTGATAAACTTTCAAGATTGAAGAAATTTCTCTTCCACAGGCTGACTGGACCCATTTTCGATAACGATGTTGTTCTCATTTTTAAAAACTTATTTTAAAAGGTAAACTATAAATATTCGGAGGACCACCATAATCTACCGGAAGAATTACCTTAGCTGCTCAACTACATTTACTCCCACCTCCTTTAAAATGAGTATATTTGATTATCTATAATTTCATCGGTACTATCTCCAAAAACGCCTCTAACCTGGCTGAACTTCGAAAAATTTTTCTTGAAATTTTCGTGCCCAGTCAAATTCTGATGGATTCCGATGCACACCCTGATTTGGCTCCAAATCCAAAACTAATTTTGTCACGAAACTTACTTCAGTAAACGGACTACTGTTACAGAAAAAGTTCTTAAAGTCGAAGCTTAAACTATTTGGAAAGGAGATGGATGCAGTGTATTCAGCAATGCTCGTCTCACAGACAGGTATTATCAAGCTAAAAGATCCTGGGCAAAAATAATCTGAAGTATATCCCGAACCAACAAGGAAAAAATGAGTCTCAGAATATGAATAAGTAAACTAATTATGTTTTGCTCACTACGAAAAAATCACAGTTCACTTTGAAAATCAATCGATAAGAACTCAAGTCAATAACGTCCAGAAAGGTGAAATATTTTTGCAAAAATACCAACTTATTGAGGAAGGTTTCTACGAAAAAGACAACCCTAAATTGAAATGGATTTCTAAAAATCTGTAATTCAGAAATATGCACATTAATTCCTAGTGCAAAAAGCCAAAAAACGACCCGAAACATCTCGAAGGTCAGCAAAGAAGTATGAGGTTAATTATATCTACATCTCTATTTTCTCATCATGTGATGCATACTCTTCTACTCAAATACGAAAATTGATAATTAGACATTAGAGATGAAGATGAAAAAATTGAAAGAAAAAAGAAAATATGGAAGCAAATCCTCAGTTTAAGAGTAAGGTGAGAAAGAAGAATGGAAGGAAACTTCCCTTTCTATTCCCTCCCTCCGCTCCAAACAGGTTTTGTACAAATATGATAGAAATTCATGCCTTACAATGCTGAAACCGCAGAACTAGTGAAGAGAGCACTTTTTATTTATATGCCGTTTCAAAGTATGTCACAATTTTATCTTGTCGAAAATTTGATAAAATTTCCTTATTTTCTGCAAACGATAACAGAAACCAAAGGTCAACATTAGTTTTCGCATTCCCCAGTTATCAATTATAACTACACTCCTCTACCTTATCATTCACTATTATTGACCGTGAAACACTGACAATTTCAGAAACATGATCAATTCTTACAAAATTTACCAATTTTGGGGGATGAACAACTCCTCTGCAATTCCGCACACAGAATTTCATCCAAAATTAAGATATAGAAATTACGAACTACATAATGTTTAAGCGACCTAGGAGCATGTACCAATGCAAGTCTAATCAGTGGTAGTTATCATGAACTTTTATCAAAGAACCGATGCACGAAATGTAACAATGCTATTGACGCAGTACTCTGTTGAAGGTTTGGACACTATCCGTAATATGGTTTGAAAACAAGGTTACTTTTTACGCACATTTTGCAACAAAAATAATTACTAGTAAAATATTCCTCTTCAGTTTAGAATTAGCTGAGCTTCTGTAGTAAAATGAGCACTATTTGGGTATCTTTCATCGATAAAACAAACACTGCAGCCACAACTCACTAAAACCAATTGACTAACCAATTTGATTAAAAATATGATCATATTTAATGAGATTGGTTTTTCAGTTGCATTTATGGACAGTGTACATCGACTCGGCAAATGAACCGATGACCTTCTACACGCAAGTACCATAGATCACTCCAATTTCTGCATATTTCACCGTTACAAGCTATTTCTTCATCCACTGAATTTTTATTTTAATTCACAAAAAATTTTAATTTTTCAAAAGTTGCGTTATTAAAAATGTATAACTTTCATATGATATTTTTTTTCTTTTTTATATACAATCTACTCAAACCATTTGTTTCCACAAGAATGAGCAAAATCAAAATCCGGAAAGCACGAAAAGAACCAATTTGACAAACAAAAAGTGCCCCTGTTTATATTAAACCTTTTCCCACATTTTCACCTCTTACTTGACAATTTCTTTAAAATATTCATCAAAAAATTTGTAGAGTTCTTCAGTCACTCCCACCTTGCATATAACTAGAGTTGAAATAGTTTAATTTTCCTTGGTGATTTTAAAGACCTAAAAATACGCAGTTTATGTTAAATCGAACCTTTTTTTTCAATTGAATGAGAAATAAGGGGGATTAAAAGTGCGTTTCAGAGAAATCAAAGTAAAGGTATAAAAGTATAAGGTCGTGTGTGGGAATAGTTAAATATACATATATATATATATATATATATATATATGAATCAGAAGTGGTTCGTTACAAAA